CGAAACTCGAACCACCGATCTGGCACCACGGGGAAATTCTTCTCTGGTTGATTTTCATTCTATCGACATGAGCTATCCTTGTTGTTGTTACTTACACTATCCCAAGTACACCGACGCCTTAAATCTTGAGAGATCCCACGTCTTGGCTAGAATTCACTATTGTCTGATAAATAAACGCTGTCGATCGTGCCTACTTCTAAACGATTGGACAGGGTCACCACAATGGAGTTGATGACTGATCGAAGATTGCAGTGATACCGTAGGCCGTGTAGCACTACGGGTTGTGCGATGCTCAACATGTTTGCAAGCACGTTTTTTACCTCAGACTGTTAAGGGTCACGACTTTTACTCTGAATCATTCATTTATCTACCAATGTCTTTGGTTCGTGTAGTCCAGCTATCATTTGTTTCAGATATCACTTTACAATCCCTATTTCTCTGATGTTCCCATTAAACGCCGTTTACCTGAACGCTCTCGTCCGTCTTACTTGACGAATCCGTTCTACTCTAGCGCTGTTTGGATGCTCGGGTTAGGGTGTGTCCCACTTTATAATCCGAACCTAGGCTGCGCTAGGTTTCTTCGATACTCACAGTAAATGAATTTTCATAGACGGACAGTCCATCTTTGACATTTTTATGGAAATGACCAAGGGCCACGAAGCTTATCTCCTGCGCTCTTTAGTGGCCTTGGGTGTGACATTTCTGAGTTGTGTTTTTACTTAATCAATCGCCTTCATACTGTACAAGCTTATTCGTAAGAGAAGATACAGTCCTGGTCTACCACAGTCCAAAGGGTGATCGCTTATCGTCCTTTGGTTTATTTTTCTGTGTTTGGAACAATGAAATAATCTACACTTTATTCTACCCCATGGTATTTTTGTCCCCTTGTGTCCCCCATGAATGAGATTGCAAGGCATAATTGGGTCGTCAAGAATCTTCAACCTCATTTCCCCGCCACGCATCCCGATTATTAAAGGCAGTGTTCGTTGTTCAACTGACAGTTTTTGCAAGGAATTGTCAACATTTAACATATTTTCTAGCAAATTTCCCTCTCGCTTGCAGCCATGATGAAATGCGCACACTGCCTTCATTACGGGCCTTTCTCAAAGTGATCAGTGTTTGCTTCCAATGCCATTCTTTGTATACACTTAGTCCGGTCCTAAGAGTTGCTGCGATCATTACAAAACTGACATGTGATAAGCACTATTACATACAGTGATTAGGATTGAGCGCTTTTTGCATCTCACTTGGTTTTGTTTCCAATTACAAGCTCCTTGACTCAACTCTGTTGTTTTTTATCCAAAGGAAGCGGAGGCACGAGAGGCAACTCAGCGGGAGCTGCAGGTTGCATTGGCTCGTCACAGTGAGAACCTCGCACAAATGTTGTCTTTCAACAAAAGTGAAATGGAGCATCAGTTTGCCTATCGGATGCGCGAGGCATTGGCTCAAGAAAGGACAGCTTTTGAAGCCGCCTTATCCGGCTGGACCAAACGGATGGAGGCTATCGAAGATGTTATTGACGGTATGCCTACTTCTTTAGCATCAACATTCTACATTTTCTTTATTTCACATATCCCCACGACTTTTCCTGTTCTGGCTGACGGGTCGAGTCCAATCGAACTTGTCTGCCTTGATGTGTGTAGGACAGGGGTCCTCAACCACGAGTTGTAGCTGCTGGACGCTGTGCTACCTGTGTGGATCCACGTAGCCGAGTTCCCTAGCCAACAGCCCCACGAAGCCGGTTTCGAATCCCAGTCAATTTTGTGTCCTGTTTGGTGTCCGTATTGTTAAAGGTCATTGTTCACAGTCCGGAAAACGAAGTTATTTTTATTACTCTCTACCGTTTCTCTGTGTGTCTGGTCACCTACATCATTGCTATCTCTGTTCCGCTCTGTGCCATGCAATGACATTTGCCCATTATCAATTCTGCGGTGCCATCACATTACCATTCGATTCTCTTATATGTACTGCGCCCTTTAAGAAAAACATGGGGTTTGATCCTTGATTGCTTTTTTAGCACGCGAACCACTGACGCATTCGATTTTATGGCATACATATATCCATCACCTAAGCACACTCATGTTATTATTATTATTATTTATTCACAAGTCTGTAAACAGACAAATGTGCCATCCGAACCATGGTGGTATGGAAAGGAGAATGTAATGTTCAACGAGGAGAGAGGAGAGAGTAAAACGTTAGAAAAATGTTTTCAGTTTCACACACGCCGTTTTGAGTTTTTTTCTGTTTTCATGTTTTGTTCAACATTAAAAAGCACAGGATGAAGAGATGGTAGAACAGCATTGACGCCACTGACTCCTATTGCGGGCCATATCCTCCAAGACTTCCAACCATTGGGAATCCGCTTCACGTGGTCCCCAGCCTGGAAGACGCACAGATCCAACTGACGCTAGACACGAAGTTAGAATCTTCATACTCCTTTTCCAGGTCATCGGTTGTCCGCCGCGGCTCTTTTTCCATTCGCGTCCAGGAAGTGCAAATAATGCGCGACGTGGAAGGCGGTGGGCCGGCATGCGCAGTACGTGACCGAGCCAACGCAATTGGTGCTGGATGATTATGCTCTGGAGACCAGGACTGTCCGCTCCCATGATTCTGCTTCTAACTTCCGCGTTGCTCACATGGTGCTGCCACCATACGCGAGCAATCGAACGCAAGCAGCGGTTGTCGAAAGTAGACAGTCGTCTCAAATCTTCCGATCGAACAGGCCAGGTCTCGCAGCCGTACAGTAGGACAGCACGGACTGTGGCATTGTACACTCGGCCTTTGAGCTTGAGACTGACATCGCGACGACGCCACAAGTGTCTCAGGTTAGTAAATGCAAGGCGAGCTTTGGCAATTCGTTGTGAAATTTCATCGCCAATACCGCCACCAGCCGTAATGCAACTCCCGAGGTAAGTAAAGCTGTTAACGAGCTCCAGGCTGACACCCGAAATGGTGAGCGTAGGCACAGGAGCCTGCCAATCCTGGAGCAAAGCTTTACACTTGGATGGAGCAAAATACAGACCGTAGTTAGATGCCTCTATCGCTAAGCGGTTCAGAATGTTTTGAACAACCTGCGAGTCGTCCCCCAGCAAAGCGATGTCATCAGCATAGTCCAGGTCCACGACTCTGCTCCCGGGTAGAAGCTCAACGCCGCAGCTCTGGGCTCCTTCCAGTGCGCGATGTAGGACATCTTCGATGGCAAAGTTGAACAGGAACGGCGAGATAGGACAACCTTGGCGCACTCCACTGGTAACGGGAAACGAAGAAGAAAGCCTTCCATAAGCTCTAACTTTGCCAGAGGTGTGACTATACAGCTCTTTCAAGAGTATGACAAACTTGTCGGGAACGCCGTTCCGTAGCAGACAGTTCCACAGTGACGACCTATCTACTGAATCAAAAGCGGCTCGGATATCCAAAAACACCACCATTGTTGGTCTTCGGTGGACATGACGATGTTCGAGAATTTGACGCAACGTGAAAATTTGGTCAATGCAACCACGGCCAGAACGAAAGCCAGCCTGTTCCTCACGACACAAACTCTCGCGGGTAACTGAGAGCCTACGCAGCAGAATGGACACAAAAAGCTTGGACGCGACAGAGATAAGTGAGATTCCTCGGTAGTTGGTGCATTCACTACGAGAGCCCTTCTTGTGGATCGGAACCACAACAGATTCTCCCCATGAGTTAGGAACCTTCTCATCGCTCCATACCTTTGTGAACAGTGATAGAATTTCGGTGACAACTAAGTTCCCCCATCTTTGAATAAGGCCGGAGGAAGACTGTCAAGGCCAGGAGCTTTGTGGCGTTTCAGAGTCTGGATTTCTCTCCGTATTTCTGCTTCAGTGGGAGGATCTATGCAGACTGACCAAGGATCACATGATGGCAGTGGATGTGTAACCGGAGGTTGTGTTGGGCAATTAAACTGTAGAGCAAAGTGCTCTGCCCAGCGATCCAGGCGTCTGCGTAGGTTGGTGATCTTTGTACCGTCTGACTCACAGATGGTCTGACTGATGGCCTGAACTTTGCGTCCGGTGGATCTGATGAGATAAAACAACCTGCGGCTATTACCAGCAGAGGCAGCAACTTCCATTTCCTTGGCCTGTTTAGACCACCAGGATTCACGGTCACGGCGAAGACTCACTTTCAGTTGTCTGGAAATAGAACGGCGGAGCTCAGTGTGCTCCACACTGACGGGTATAGCTCGCCGATAGTCGAGAAGTTCCGCGGAGGTGGCCGAGACCCAACTTTTAGTTGTGCAACGAACAAGACCGCAACTGGATAAACCCGCTGAAAACATAATCTGTTGCAATCGCGACCAATGCTGATCAACGTCCCGAGGAGGCGGAGAAGTGAGGTTCTCACGAAGCTGCTTTTGATATTCCAATTGCACGGCGGGGTCTTCCAGTTAATTCGAGTTTGTCTAGTCCTAGGCGAGCCACCGAAACGCATGCAAACCGACGCACGCACTAGCGCATGATCAGTTTCCACGCATGTTGACCAATAGGATCTGCAGTCCCGAATACTGCCACGCCAGCGATGACTTATGGCGATGTGGTCAATCTGTGACCAACGTTGAGGAGATGATGGAGCGTGCCAGGTAGCGTAGTGACGTCTAGGGTGGCGAAAGTTCGTGCTGGAGAGGTAAAGTTGGTGGACGGCACACAAACTGAGTAGTCTTTCACCATTGTCTGAGCGAAAGTTGTCGTATCCATGCGGGCCTCCAAGATGGCGTTCGCTTGGTAACAAACGACCAACACGCGAGTTGAAATCCCCCGCCATAATAATGATGTCCGTTTTGGGGGCCTTTAAGAGCAAATCATGAAGGTTCTGATAGAATTGGTCCTTGACGGTATCTGGGCTACATTCAGTTGGAGCATAGGCGGAGATTACAAAAAGAGCACGTTTATCTTCTCGACGCCTGTTAACCTTGCACGAGCCATGTAGCCTGACAGCACAAAGGCGACTGTTGATCGGAATCCATTCGAGAAGGGCAGCTTCGGCTCTGGCACTAAGGGCGACCCCAACACCAGCTTGCCCAGAAGCGGTAGCCTCGGCGTCTCCAGAAAGTCGAAGGTGGAAACGAGTATAAGGGTGAACTGGTGACGACAATGGGTAGACTGTGCTGGAATCCTGAAGTCGTGTTTCGGACAAACAACAGACATCAATTGCAAGAGTTTCTAGAGTGCGCGTGAGACCAGCTTGCTGCCCAATCTGTTTTAAGGTGCGCACATTGAACGCCGCCAAGTTGAACTGTGTCTTCGGTTGCAGAAGCGGAGAGGGGAGAATCCGGGACTGTTCAATCCCGGTTTGGCGCTGTGTGATTATGTCAGAGGATGGAGCGGCAACAGTGATATCGGAGGAAGTAATGCTGCTCATCATTGATTGATCAGACAAAAACGGGGAAGAATGATACAGGGGAAGAGTAGATAAGCGAGTGGCGTGTGATGGAAGAGTGTTTGCAGTAGTAGCATGAGAGCAAAGCATCAGTAGAGCGAAGAGTGCAGTTCAGTTCCATGGTTCATCAGTAGGCGAGATACTACCCGGTTGCCTAGGCCGAAGTAGGGGGTTGTCTTAGGGGGCCGCCACCCCGAGCCTTTGGCTCAATAGCCTACCCGCAAGGCAGCGGGGCGAATTCAGGGAATCGCGCCCATTGGGAGCCGGTGACCGATTACTCGGTTCATACGCCTTTCGTTTGGTCAAGTACCAAACAGGGGCCCAATCCTCCCCACGATGACAGCATCTGGCAGCTGGAATACAATGCTCCACTGGAGTGAAGCAAGGGGCAGTGACTTTATTTAGTGGCGAGTCACATCCGCCACGTCGCAGTGTTGTTAAACGGACATATGTGGCTTTTTATAGGGAGAACGCTTGCCAGGCGAAAACCCACCACGTCCTGGAACACTGCCGCCGAACCATTCGCTGGAACGGGAAAATCCCGAACCACCCAGCTGGCACCACGAGGAGGTTGTTCGGCAAGCCAGCCTACTCAATGAAAACAACCAGCTATACTCTAACACTCCATTTTTCGTTGGTTCCACTAGGTACCTCATAGCAAATTGGTTTCTATTCGTCAGATCGCCGTGATTGCCTCATGACTCCCGGAGCGTGTAAATTTACTTGGATGCTGGTACGCTTGTATGGTGGTCTGCCTTATTTTCTACGAATTTATCTGCTTATCTTACCAACTGATCCGACCCATCCCATTATTGCCAATCTCACTGAGGCTTCATCCTATCCGCTGCGTCATGAGCAGCGATGAGCACGCACGCTCTCAAAACTTGACCTTAGTGTTCCACGGCGATCTGCTTGGGGCAGGTATTGCGCATGTGTAGTGGGTTGTAGTTTTTTCGATAGTCACCATGATCGACCGGGAGGGAGTTTAAGCAGATTTGCGCTCCGTTGCCCTGAGACAGGAGGGTACATACTAGTGGACTCTCTCACTGATAGAGATCCACCGGGATCTGTGCTCTGTTTCGGGATTTTTGAGCCCCCGACCCATCGTGTACTCCACTACTCCCT